AACAATATCAGAGTAGATGACTGGATATTCGTGTCTTAAAAAATTTGTACTGGAATCAAACTGCTATCGTAAAAATAGGAGATTACTACACCGATGAAATCTTTATACAACGAGGAGTCTGACAAAGTTGCATTTTGTCGCCAACATTGTTCAATGTTTACTCGGACCAGTTATTTAAAAAGGCACTTGAGAGACAACCATATGGAATAAAAATGAACGGGGAACTAGGTACTTAATGTGATTAGATATGCATACGATACAGTAATTCTATCAGATAATATTGAAGGTCTTCAAATTCTGCTTGATCGTATTCACGAGGCAGGAGAAAAAGAGGGCATTAAAATAAACTCGTACAAAACCAAATTTTTAGTGTTTAGTCGTGACCGACATCCCGAAGAAAAGCTTCAATTAAACGGAGTCCAAGTTAGTAAAGTTCACAAAATGACATACCTATTTGGGAACTGTGATAACGGACCAACTAGACCCAGACATAGAAATAAAACGTTAAAATAGCAATGACTAAAACTATTTTCATGAAAATGAAGTCATTTCTTACCAATAACCATCACAGTTTAGAACTAAGACAAAGAATAGTTAAGTGCTATGTTTGGTCTGTACTTTTGTATAGTGCAGAAGTGTGGATGCTAAAAGTATCGATCATGAACAAAATTGTAGCATTGGAAATGTGGCTTCATAGACAAATGCTGAAGATACCTTGGACAGCAAGGAAAACTAACGACTAAGTATTAAGGGGCGTCAAGAAAGATATATACTTTTCTTTTTATGTAAATTTTTTTGGTTCCTAATACTTTTTTTGTAATTTTTTCTGATTTTTTTGATTATTTGGGCACTTTTACTAGTTTACAGCACAGAAAACATTTAAAATTTAAGGTTTTTTTTTTCAATTTTTTGGCTAAGTTCGCAAAAAATTGGGCATTTTTGAGGCGTTCCGGCTTACTAAATAATTACCAAAATCGGCTCCGTTCGTATTCATTTCCCACTTCCCCCAACTATATCTGTCGTTTGAGGTTTGATTTTGTTTACTCGCCCTCTACAGGAGTATTTTGAAGTATAATAACCGTTACAAAACCCAGAGTACAGTCATAGCCCTTTGTGGTATATACTGTCATCTGTCATACTGTGACCAAGACTACCAACCAAACCAAACCAAGTAAATACAGTAACAGTAAATAGTAAATCATCAATTTGGAATGTCCTATCAAAGAATATAGAAGCGTCTATCATCCTATATTTATGCTTTCTGTAATTCTGTTTTATTTAAAATATAGGCAAAAGTATAGAGAAAGTGCTGATGAATTTGGCATAAACGTCATGTCAAATTTGTGTTTGCGGTATTGCCATGTCTTTATTATGTATATGTTTTATTCCTCAAATATGCTTTGAAACAGTTCATTTTTATTATATTATTTTATAAAATCGGGTATTTTTTAAAAAATTTTAAATTCATATAAAACACGAACGAATGAATATTTGTTTTTTTTTTGATACTAATTGCAGTTAGTTATTAGAAAAAAAAATTATAATTGGTCTTTGGTAGATTAGTAAATAAACTTGGCAATACTGTCAAAAGTAGTTGCCAGATTGCAACAGATGTTTAGCAGATTTCAATTTTATAAATATTTTCTTATAATTTTGGGATGAAATGCTATCTGAAAAAATTAAAGTTAATTTAAATTATAATAAAATAAATTAAAATTAATTAAACTTCTTTTAAAAACTTAAAAAGAATGTTTATTAACATTAATTATTATTATATCACATGCTCTTTCGTGATTTATTTGTGATATGGCAACACCGCAAACACAAATTTGACATGACGTTTATCCAATTTTATGGGATGGGCACTTTCTCTCACAATACATACCCCATAGTAGTGTAAGTAGAATAGGACGGGAGGGGATAGTGTTTTGCATGGGCCCATCCGTTCTTAATGGCGGCGGCGCTACTAGTCACGTTAGGTGGGAGGTGGAGACGCATGTGCTGTGGCGAAATTTAATTTAGATTGGGACGATGGGACGCCATATTGCAAATTCAGATTTGTGTTTGGTTTTGGTTATTATCATCTTAATTGTAAAAATTGTGTTTTACCATCGTTGAAATGGAACAAAATAGAATAAAAGGTAAAAAAATGTTATGTTCATGGTTACACCGACTACACAAACAGTCGATTTGGTTTTCCAAACCCAAAAAATGAAATGATGAAATGGACTTGTTTTCATAATGGTTGACATTTATTATGAGGAAAATAAACAATTCTACACCACACTGTTTACAATAGTCGTATCCCAAATTTTAGAAATAGACGATAAAAACAGTATACATCAAATTTTATATATCTAATAGACCTGCTAAAGAAGAAGGTACATTACCAAAATGGTATAGTATTTCCAAAGAATATTTTTTGTTGATGGGTGAAAGTTATTGGACAAACGGCTATTAAACATTCTGAGGATTAGGAGTTTATTTTTACAAGCACCAGGTAAGAACAGCATCTAATTATACCAAACTTTTAGTAAATACAAACTTGATACTATTTTGTTTTTGTAGTTAATTTACCTTTCAATCTTAACTAACATTAATCTTATATTTATATACTGTATAGATTTTAAACTCATTAAAACTCTTAACTCTTATCGCTGCATTCCTAAACATTGCCTTATTTTATAAAAAAAAACTTTTATGACTCTTTTAATTGCATTCCTAAAATTGGCCTTATTTTATAAAAAAAGTCAATACATTCTTAATTTTAATATTTCATTATTTTAGATTTTCATGGATCTTCTACTTCTGAGTAACAGTTACATTGAGTCACATGCCAATCATTGTGAAGAGCAAGATCGCAGACATGCTAGGGTTTACACTTTATTATCTACATATGGTACCTTAAGGAAAAGTATTTTAGAAGGTATGGAACTTACTACAAACCATTGCTAATAAATATAGAGGTATCTATATTTGTATATCAAAATGACGATCTCACAACATGATGGGAAGATTAAATGAAGATTGGTGGAAAAATCCCTTCACGAAGTTGTTCATCTGGTACAGAATTGCAGCCAATGGAGACAGCAAGTTAACAATATTTAGAGTGTCTCCACCCACACCTTAACAAGGGCTTAAGTAAGGAGGAGGAGGAAGATATGTTGGCAATACTTTACCAAAGAAAATTATACAAATAAACAAGTGTCAGGATGTTTGTGTTTTATTTTGTTATTTTTGAGACTTTGGTTTGTTAATGTAATGGAAAACAGATATAATCATAAAATATTAAATAAAAACTTTCTTGTACCATAATATATACTCTCTCTGTATCAGATATTATGTTATACATTTATATATACAGTAGTCTCTCTTTATAACGATTTCCTATATAACGATAATTCCTCTATAACGATGAAAATAGTAAACGTTGGTTGGTTCGCCACAAGGACAACGTACTAATTCTTTCTCTATACCGATATGGTTCTCTCTTTATAGCGATGACTTTTCAGCGTTCAATAATCGTTGACTGTTAACACAATAACAACTGTGTTATTGTATTTAAAGTTCAGACTACCTGAGTCATGAGTGGCAAGTTCGTTGTCCAGCGGTTGTTTTTCGAAAAAGCGTAAGGTGAAAAGCAATCGGATGTCATTTGTCGTACCCCTCAGTCAACTGTGGCTACGATGCGGAAGGACAGGAAAAAGAGGCTTGAAGCGGAGATGTAGGGCGGTAGCAGGAAGAAGTTGCGGAAACCTCAGTACGAAGATTTAGATCGCGCTATGCTTCAGTGGTTTCAGTAGCTGCGAATGAACCATATTCCACTTTCTGGGCCTGTGGTCAGGACAACAGCTTAATCTTTTGCGCAGGATACAGACAGGACACAGACAGTTTGAATTTACTATCACCTACGGACCGAAAGAGCTAACAGATTTTGAATAATTTGATGAAAATGTAGCAAAAATATCTGGACTTTCTCAAAAAGACATCCTACAGTTCGTCCAGAAGAAGAAGAAAACAGTGACCCAGAAGTGGAAGCAGAGCCAGGACTAGCTCCGACCCCTCAGTAGGTATTGAGTGTGGCAAAAGTACTGCATTTATTCTTCATCCACCAGGAAGACGATATGAGTGCTGTGGAAGATTCTGTGCGTATTTAGGACAAGGTCAGGTCAGTTCCGTGGAAAGGAAAAAGGAAACAGACCAAGGTGACAGACTTTTTTTTGGTACTGTAAGCAAAATATATTTTACAGTAGCATATTATTTTTTTATTGTACTGTACACATGTTTTAATTGTACATTCATTTTTTTTGTATCGTATTGCTTGTATTATTCTTTAATAAATCGATGTAGTGTACAATACAGCGTTAATTCATTTATATTCGTTTTGCTACATTTTTTAAATTAAAATAGGGTATTTACTACAGTATTATTAATATTACAGTACCGAATTTTGTCTCTTTCTGTATAACGATCTCTCCTTATAACGATGAAAATTCCCGGTCCCTTGAATATCGTTATAGAGAGAGAGGACTGTATATAAAAATGTGTAGGTGTATACTATATTTTTGGACAGAGAGGATATATTTTCTGGCATAGAATAAGTTTTTATTTCTTATTTTATGACTATATTTACTTTCCATTAAAAACATACTTTTTGAATTTTGGCGCCTAAAATTCAGAGCATATTTTTTGAATTTGCCGCCTAAAATTCTGAATTTACGTTTTGAATTTGCCGCCAAATGAAATTAGTTTCGGCCCGTCCGTATTTGGCGCTAGAAACTCTCTTCCAAAACTTTATATGGGAGTTACCTTACTAGGGGGGTATGTACTATGCTTTCTCTATACTTCTACTAAAATATATATAATAATTATTAATAATATATTCCTTGAATATACTGTTTGGTGAAGTGGTGATGGTCTCTCTTACTTGTAGTGATTTTGTTTATATAGTTTAAACTTAACGAAATATACGAGTGGTGTGATTATAAGTTGATCAAAAAATGGAAATTAACGAGGAGTCCCATGGTACAATGAGTACATGTACCATGGAGGAGTCCTGTAAAATAGAAATAGAAAATGAGGCAGATAATGTTTTTCTAGATATCTTTAAAACTGAGTATGTGGAAAAATCTAAATTAGAAAGTAAAAATGATACATATGATTGTTTAGAATTTACTGACAATCCTGCAAAAATTCAAATAGGACAAAATGACGATAAAATACAATATAAGTGTGATTATATTGATCAAAAAATGGAAGTTAACGAGGACTCCTGTAAAATAGAAATAGAAAATAATGAGGTGGGTGATGTTTTTCTAGATAACTTTAAAACTGAGTTTGTAAAAGAATCCACAGGAGAAGTTAAAAATAATACATACGATTGCTCAGAATTTACTGACCGTCCTGCAAAACCTCAAATAGGACAAGATGAAGGTACAGTTATGCCATGTGAAGAAATACAACTAAATAAAAAAAGTGAGTAGATAATATAAATAAAGTAATTTTTCCTCCTTTCCAACTAAAAACCTTTTTAACCTTTCAGTGCTAACCTGAATTATTTAACCATAAGTTACTGTCCGTCTATGGGACCATGTATTTATAAATGCCCTAGTACTATCAATTTAAATTTTTTTAAAATTTAATTACTTTAAGGGTCTTAATAAGTATAGTTTTAATTAAAATAAATACAGTTTTATTTAAAAATTATATTTACAAACATTTATTTTGACAAAAATAATTCCTTAAAAAAACAAGCAGCTATTGTAAAAAGTGAGAAAAGTAACCTTAAAATCTTACTATAAACAAAAAATTGCCTTTTATTTACTGTACTTTGTTTTTCGACTTTTCTGGTTTCCACAGTAAAAACAACGACCATGAGGTTTTCCTGAATATTTTGCACATTCAATGTGATATCAAACATTTCTCTGAGTGGCATACTTATCATCCTTGGCATGTTTGTTGCAATTGCTCTACGTCTTGCAGGTGGTTCAAGCAATTGCATACGGATTGTCTCTAAAAATTTCCTTTTAAGTGTTATGTGTTGGGCCGTCCGAGCAGAATTACACTTGTGTATTGTAAATGAATTTATGCCAGCGATATTCAATATTGCATAAAAAATCACCACAGGCAAACAATTAGTTGATCTTACAATTGTAGCTTTCACACATCAATAGTGTCCACTCCTCCTTTGGTGGAGTTGTAATAAATTATTATGTTAGGTTTACCGGTCTGTGGATCCAATGTATCATCTTCATAGTGCATAGTTGACATCACTAGCACAACTTTTTTCAGTTTTGGAATATACGAAACAATAGTGCATTTATCTTGAAATGCAAACATACTTGTAGAAGTAGGCCTAACTAGGTGCCGTAAACTCCAAAGGAAGTTCTGACCAATTACTTCGAAAAGTACCAATTAGCTGATGATTGACCAATAATGTATCAGCTAGCTGCTTAGTAGTAAAAAAATTATCAAGAGTAACATTTCTATTTCTACCCCAGATAGGTCTGCACAAACATACTACTAGATCCAAAGTCTTTGTGGTTTGCACTGAAAGGTTATTAACATAACCTACCCTAACAGTGTTGCCATATTTTTTTGTATAATGTAGACATATCTGTTTAAAATTTGAAGGTAGATATTTTAAAGAAACTATATTTTTAATATTTTTTGTTATGTGCAGCTACATTTTGTGAATTTATATGAAACAGCCTTCATAAGTTTTTATTACTTCAATTTTATTAAATGTTAAACTAAATAATATTGTTAAGAATTGTGGCTTATTCTCATAGATAATAATGATAACAAAAATAGTTATGGTCGGTTCACTAATCCCAGTCAACTGTATAGTGAATTTAGTAATTATTTTTTGTGAAGTAAGCTACTGTTTTGACAGACTAGAAGTGGCTGGAAATTACTATACAACCAAGCACATGTGCTCCATAGTGTATTTCATAAGAGTATTTCGTCGACTTTTTTCTGCCAGTTTATAATAATATTCTATTATTCCTATCAGAAACTAGTTTTGGACCACCCTGGATTTTACCTTTTTTATCTAATGTACTTTAATATGTGGATTATATATCACAATATTGAGTATGTTTTGTGATTATATATCATTTGAAATATTGCGTATCCAGCATTATTATCATCACTTTTAAAAAAATAATAAATTAACTGGAAAATATTAAACATTTATTGAAAATATTCTCAAGAAACTCAAGGTAAATGCTGCCAAACATTTTAAGTTGGTTGCCTACATTTGGAGCAACTGAACCATATAAACTAAATTAGCCTAACTTTTTTTATAATATATATTTTTTTATTATAATAATAAAAACTGAAATGTTTTTGTTATTAAGAACATTTGTAACATTTACATAATTTGACAAATATATTTTAATGATCAACTTACCTCAATAGGGTTTCATTCAGCAAATAATTAAAAAAAATTGTAGGTATTTTGAATAAACCTTTTTGCAGTTTGATTACCTAGTAATTTAACAGCATCCTTTCTCATCTAAAAATATTAACTTTCAAAGAACATTTATCATATTTATTTAAGAAAAACTTACCAATGCATTAGCTGATTAGACAAGTGAAAAGCTTTGACTATCCATAATAATAAAATTCAAAATAGAACTAACTAATTAACTAAATACAACTAACAAAGAATTAAAGAAAAATACTAGAACAATAAAGCTGTATTAAGTAAAATAAACAATGAGAATAATGCAAATATTTATTACAATATGTTAAATTGTAACAACTCATATATTTTAAATATACAGGGAACATTTTATGGGTCTAAGTATACACTTCCACTATTTAGAATAATTCTTCTTTTTTCAATGGAAGAAGTCTACAATAGAAAGTATATTTAAGCTATTAATACTGAGAGGTAGGAATTTTTGTGTTGTAGGTTTCTGACTTTGTGAATAAGGGAATGGACTTTACTAGTATAGTAAAAGGGTATGATCTCTATGGAAATAAAAGTTATATCAATGAATTTATCCTCTTTTGTGCTTTTTGTATTCATTATCTATATTGATATTTTAGTATTTTCTTTTTAAAACTGTTAAAACTTTTTGGTGTTTCTAAACTATTAATTTTTTTATATAATTTTAATACTTCCATTGAACGATGTGCCAAACTGAGTTTGAAGATTGTATTCTGTAATTGTAGCAAAATAAGAGGCAAACAAATTAGCAATATCACAAGACTTGGTAATAATTTTATTATCATAATGTAGAATAATATCAGACCTGTTCTTTTGTCTACTGGTTTCACTGTTTACTAATTCCAAATTATTTTTGGTATATTGTAAAATTGATTAATTAAGTCACTATGAAAGTTTTTTTTAGTATTTATTAATAGAGAATACAATTCGTTTTTTGCCTGTTTATAAGATATCTTGAGACTCGAGACTCCCTATATTTTTTGCTATCCAGTGTAAATTTTTTAGTTTTTCACTGGCATGTCTTACCTCATTTGTTACCCATGTAGCTTTATTTATATTCAGCATTCAATTGTGAATAAACTTCATCAAAAACTGTAGAAGAAATCCCTGTTTTAAACATCAACATATTTTCATCTGACAAATCCCTGTAACTGATGAGTTTTTATGTTTTTTTGATACTTTATTGGCTTGTAAATTTATACTAAGTGAAACTATGGTCACTAAAGTGCCCCTCGAAAACATATGATTTATAAAGATGTGGTTCGATATTTGTCAATATGTAGTCCAATTTTGTAGACAATGTTTTACCCACTTTATTTATGAAAACTCTTGTAGGAACCTCAGATGTCACTCTCAGATTATAACAGTAAAAACTCGTTAAAAGATTGCTTATTATTAGACATGACAAGATAATCAATGTTTAGATCACCACAAATATAAATATCATGATATTATGACTTTCTGCATAGCTCCAATATATTATGTAATTTACACAAAAAACTCTGAACTTCTTCATGTAATTCTCTGAAATAACACAAATTTTCTATTGGCTAGAAACAGAGAAATCGCACGGCACTCACACAACAGTTCTTCACTAAAGTTAGAGACATCCTATGTTTTGAATTTAATATCAGCTTTGATAGAATAGGGTAACTTTGAAAGAGGACCGGTAACGAAGTCTCTCAATGCCGCTTTGATTCATCCGTTTATCGGGAAAAACAACGGCCAATCTTTCAACAATTGTAACGAATTTAACGAACTTTACATGTCTCAAACGGTGGGTTCTAAAAATCCACTTTTTTATACATTACGAAGTAACTGCGTAAAAACAATAAAACTAAAAGATTTATCGCCCCTTTATGAGTTCCAATATTGTTGACCCAGTTCTAAGAAGATAAAAAACTTGTTTTTTGTAACGAATTAGCGGTTGGCAGTTGTGGTCTTAAAAATGACAACTTTTTATATTGAGATGAGGAGAATTGGCGGTAAAATAATATCGGAAGTCTCTAAAGAATCAACCTGTTTTGACGAAAAGCGGATGAGACAAAAAACTCGTTTTATTTGAGTTGAGATATATTGAACATAGGTAGAATATATTTTCGTATTTTCTTAATTGTTACAGAATAATGAGGGGTTATTGGGAATATGTTATGACTTTAACAGTTTCTACATTAAATTTTACTTCCAGCGAAAACAAATGTTTATGGATTTGTTTATATTTTAGGTTATCTTCAAAATGAGAATAGAATGGAGACTATAAAGTCATCACCTGACCAGTCATGCTATGAAGAATGTGTGAGTCGACAACCTGAAGAAACAACATTAAACAAATCTCAGATTGGACAAGAACTTTACAACTGTGATATTTGTTTTAAGCAATTCACTGAAGCGCGTTTTTTACAAATACATTTGCGAACACACACTGGAAAAAAAGCTAATGAGTGTAAAATTTGCCGCAAGCAGTTTTTTCAGCAAAGTAATTTAAAAAATCATATGAAAATACACACTGGGGAAAAACCTTACATGTGCGAAATTTGTTTTAAGCACTTTACTGCAGCAGATCATTTAAAAAGGCATGTTAGAACGCATACTGGGGAAAAACCTTATAAGTGTAAAATTTGTTTTAAGCAGTTTTCTGAGGAAAGTAATTTGAAAAAGCATTTGAGAATACATACTGGGGAAAAGCCTTACGCGTGTGATATTTGTTTTAAGCGCTTTACTGTAGCAGATCATTTAAAAAAGCATTTGAGAGTGCATACTGGGGAAAAGTGTGAAATTAGTCCCTTGCAGTCTCCTCTTAAAGGTCATTTGCAAACTCATGTAAAAATACACACTGGAGAAAAACCTTATAAGTGTGAAATTTGTTTCAAGCAGTTTTCTCAGCAAAGCAGTTTGAAAACGCACTTAAGAATACACACTGGAGAAAAACCTTATAGGTGTGAAATTTGTTTTAAGCGATTTACTGTAGCAGATAATTTGAAAAAGCATTTGAGAGTGCATACTGGGGAAAAACCTCATAAGTGTAAAATTTGTCTTAAGCAGTTTTCCGAGGAAAGTAATTTGAAAAAGCATTTGAGAATACATACTGGGGAAAAACTTTATAAGTGTGAAATGTGTCCCTTGCAGTTTTCTCTTAAAAGCCATTTGAAAACGCACTTAAAAATACACACTGGGGAAAAACCTTATAAGTGTGAAATTTGCCTTAAGCAATTTTCTGAGGAAAGTAATTTGAAAAAGCATTTGAGAATACATACTGGGGAAAAACTTTATAAGTGTGTAATTTGTCCCTTGCAGTTTTCTCTTAAAAGTAATTTGCAAACTCATGAAAAAATACACACTGGAGAAAAGCCTTATCGGTGTGACATTTGTTTTTAAGCGGTTTATTATAGCAAATAGTTTGAAAAGGCATTTAAGAATGCATACTGGGGAAAAACCTTATAAGTGTAAAATTTGTTTTAAGCAGTTTTCTCAGCAAAGCAATTTGAAAACCCACTTAAAAATACACACTGGAGAAAAACCTTATAGGTGTGAAATTTGTTTTAAGCGCTTTACTGCAGCAGATAGTTTGAAAAAGCATTTGAGATTGCATACTGGGGAAAAACCTTATAAGTGTAAAATTTGTCTTAAGCAGTTTTCTGAGGAAAGTAATTTGAAAAGGCATTTGAGAATACACACTGGGGAAAAACTTTATAAGTGCGAAATTTGTTTCTTGCAGTTTTCCCTTAAAAGTAATTTGCAAACTCATGTAAAAATACACGCTGGAGAAAAACCTTACAAGTGTGAAATTTGTTTCAAGCAGTTTTCTCAGCAAGGAAGTTTGAAAACGCACTTAAAAATACACTCTGGGGAAAAACCTTATAGGTGTGAAATTTGTTTGAAGCGATTTACTGTAGCAGATAGTTTGAAAAAGCATTTGAGAATTCATACTGGAGAAAAACCTTACAAGTGTGAAATTTGTTTCAAGCAGTTTTCTCAGCTAGGCAGTTTAAAAACGCACTTAAAAATACACACTGGAGAAAAACCTTACCAAGTCTGAAATTTGTTTTAAGCAGTTTTCTCAGCAAAGCAATTGAAAAACGCACTAAAAAATACACACTGGAGAAAAACCTTATAGTTGTGAAATTTGTTTTAAGCGATTTACTGAAGCACGTTATTTGAAAAGTCATTTTAGAATGCATACTGGGGAAAAACCTTATAAGTGTAAAATTTGTCTTAAGCAGTTTTCTGAGGAAAGTAATTTGAAAACAGTACTGTTACTTCACATCATCTATTTTTTTTATTTCGTCATCTTATTGTTTTTTTTTGTGACATTGGAACTTCTGGGATATTTCACTATGTAGATATAAGTTATATATATATCCTATGGTGTAGTATATATAAGTATTATTTTTATATCATCATATTTTTATATCAAGTCATTTAATTGTATTCAATTATTATCGAAATTTTTCTTCTTAATTTAATTGTCAGTTGATCAAAAATTATCCATAAATGTAAAAGTATTGGTATTGAAATGTTGGCTATCCTGATCCCCAAACACCATGTAAATCAGGTTGGTTGTTTTGACAGAACAATAAAGAAATTTCCATTCTGTGTTGCACAAGTGAAGAGGTGTTTTATCTTCTCCATTCCAGTATCCATATTTAATATATATATATAATTGTACTCTGAAAGTTTTTCCAAAATATACTTTAAAAAAGTGGAGATAAATTTTACAAAGCTTTGTAAATCTTCCAATTGATTCGAGGGTTCCACTGGCTCTTCAGCTGCAGAATTATTATCACACTACGGAGGACACCTTTTAAAAGTATCTTCGTAAAATGGTAACAGAAGTTTAGTTAGATCTTAAAAAACTCTCTGATAAAGGTGTTATCTCAGCAGAGTTTAAAGATGGCTTTCTTTTATTCCCCTATAGTGGTGATATTACAAACTGCCTGATGGAAACAGATAACGAAGATACAAGTGACGTTAATTTTTGATTATGACTTTTTATTAAATGTATAATTTTAATAATTGTAATGTTTTTCATTAATTCTCACCAAATAAAACACAAATAAAATAAATCTTAAACAACGTGAATGCTTTAAATTTGAACATACGAAACCTCGTACCCATGTCGACAAAAATCGTAAGTACCGGTACTATTACAAAAATAAAACATACAACATAATTACTTTTGTCATTTATATAGTACACTACCAAATAATATAATGTAAAATATTTTACTTTCGATACTGATTGGTACGAATATTAATTAAAAAAAACCTCCTGTAAAATTCCACTTTTGCTAGTTACGATATTTTTCCTGAAAGGGCTCGATATAGTAACCTGAAATTCAAAATATTAAACACAAAAACTAAATTTGGCTAAAAATACTGCCTATATGAGTAAATAGTTATCCGATATACTTATTAGTCAATTCATAGCATTTCTATATTGAACTATAGCATTGATTTACGTTTGTTACTTTTTATTTCTCTTTTGTAGTTTCTAAACTAATTTTTACTTCCAGCAAAAACAAATGGTTATGGATTTGTTTATATTTCAGGTAGTCTCCAGGGGGAGAATAGAGTGGAGACTATGAAGACATCATCTTACCAGTCATGCTATGAAGATTATGTGGGTCTACAACCTGAAGAAAAAATATTAAACAAACCTCAGATTGGACAAGAACTTTACAACTGTGATGTTTGTTTTAAGAAATTTACAGAAGCGCGATATTTACAAATACATTTGCGAACACACACTGAACAAAAACCTATTGAGTGTAAAATTTGTCGTAAGCAGTTTTTTAAGCAAAGGTGTTTAAAAATTCATATGAAAACACACACTGAGGAAAAATCTTATGCGTGCGAAATTTGTTTTAAGCGATTTACTCTAGCACGTTATTTGAAAAGTCATTTTAGAATGCATACTGGGGAAAAACCTTATAAGTGTGAAATTTGTTTAAAGCGGTTTACTTTAGCAAATAATCTGAGAAGGCATTTGAAAACGCATACTGGGGAAAAATCCTACGAGTGTGAAATTTGTTTTAAGCGGTTTTATCAAGCATATAAGTTAAAATGTCATTTGAGAATACACACTGGGGAAAAACCTTATAAGTGTAACATTTGTCTGAAGCAGTTTTCTAATCAAACGCATTTAAAAATACACGTAAGAATTCACAATGGAGAGAAACTTGGTGAGTGTAAAATTTGTCTTAAGCAATTTTCTAAGCAAGGCTATTTGAAAACGCATATGAAAACCCACACTGGGGAAAAACCTTACGCGTGTGAAATTTGTTTTAAGCGATTTGCTGTAGCGTATAATTTGAAAAGGCATTTTAGAATGCATACCGGGGAAAAACCGTACCAATGTGAAATTTGTCTTAAGCAATTTTCTGAGCAAGGTCTTTTGAAATACCATGTGAAAATACATACTGGGGAAAAACCTTACGCGTGTGAAATTTGTTTTAAGCAATTTACTGTAGCAAATAGTTTGAAAAAGCATTTGAGAATACATACTGAAGAAAACCCTTACAAGTGTGAAATTTGTTTTAAGCGATTTACTGTAGCACGGTATTTGACAAAGCACTTGAGAAGTCATACTGGGGAAAAACCTTTTAAGTGTGAAATTTGTTTAAAGCGGTTTACTTTACCAAATAATTTGAGAAGGCATTTGAGAACGCATACTGGGGAAACACCTTACAAGTGTGAAATTTGTTCCAAGCAGTTTTCTCAGCAAGGCAGTTTGAAAACGCACGTAAAAATACACACTGGAGAAAACCCTTACGAATGTGAAATTTGTTTTAAGCAGTTTACTTTAGCAAATAATCTGAAAAGGCATTTGAGAAAGCATACTGGGGAAACACCTTGCAAATGTGAAATTTGTTTCAAGCAGTTTACTCTAGCACGTAATTTAAAAAAGCATTTGAGAACGCATACTGAAGAAAAACCTTATAAGTGTAAAATTTGCCTCAAGCAGTTTTCTCGCCAAGATAATTTAAAAAATCATGTGAAAATACACACTGGAGAAAAATCTTATGAATGTGAAATTTGTTTTAAGCGATTTACTGTAGCACGTTATTTGGTAAAGCACTTGATAAGCCATACTGGGGAAAAACCTTTTAAGTGTGAAATTTGTTTAAAGCGATTTACTTTAGCAAATAATCTGAGAAGGCATTTGAGAACGCATATTGGGGAAACATCTTAAAAGTGTGAAATTTGTTTCTAGCAGCTTACTCTAGCACGTAATTTAAAAAAGCATTTGAGAACGCATACTGGAGAAAATTTTTATAAGTGTAAAATTTGCCTCGAGCAATTTTCTCGCCTAGATTATTAAAAAAAAATTATGTGAAAATACACAATGGAGAAATACTATAGCAAACTGTCTACTGTTGTGCGTCTAAACTATCTACTGTTCTTATCTTTATAAAGCTTTATAACTTCTCATATGTTTTAATTTTACTTTTTGTTACAATATGTGTTCAATATAAATAATGAAAATAATATTTAGTTAAATATACTTTGTAGTCAATAAATAGTGTAATAATAAGTTAACATTTGGCTTTATTTTTCCAACCAATCAGTCTATTCTATATTAATAAAAAATCAGTTATGCAAGTGTACATTTTAGTAAATGTCATAAATTTATACGTAAAATTTATATTAATTTCATCAATGACATCGTTATGTTGAATTCTAATAGGGGAGAGTGGGGCAAAATGGTCCCTCTGACATTTTGTTAAGCTAGAAATAACAAAAATCGAAGTAATTAAGTTGTTTAATGAGACAATACCTTGGGTATAACAGAACATATTTTTTTGAAAATGTTATATCGAAGTGTACAGTTAACAAAATAACATTATTTTTTAAATTAAAGTAAAGGGGCAGTTTTACACCATGAGTAGGGCAAAATGACTCCAATAGTTCTTTTGTACAGAAAAAGTAATCCAAACCTTTTTCGCCTTCGATTTACTGAATAATTTCGAGCAAAATATCATCAAATCTCTTATTTTCTTGTGTACTTCTTAACACCTTTCTGTTTAGAGCATTTCTAGCTGCTTGTGAAGTTGACTTAGATGTTTTTGTTTTGCTTTTATCAAAATATAATTTAGAGTAGACGTGAACACAATCTTGAAAGTTGAAGGTAAAGGTCTTGAACTTCTTGCCTGAGGTTGTGGAGATATATCATATGGAGTTACAAAAGTATCCTCCAGTGATGATGGAATTTCATTCCTTGAAGGTCACTATTCTGTTCTGGTTAGCTATGTCGACTTTATGCTTTGAAGCAAAAATTAATATGGAAAATTTTATGAATTTAGTATACTCAATTAGATTTTAACATTCTCCGTAGATTTTAAAATTTAAGTTATTTAGAACTCTTTAATCAAACTTATGATTATTAAAACGTATTGTATTAATACCCAAACTTATGGTTTTAACTTTATTGCAGAGAAAATGTTAGAAAATCATTTTTTTTTATTGTAAATAAATAATGTTGAACATTTTAAAATTATTTTTAATTCTAATAATACATAATTCTGTCAAAAATTGTTTTACTCTCGAATCAAAATCACATTTTTTAAAACACTTCATATATAACTATATAATATAAAAGTTGATATGTGACGGTATTGATCAGTATATTATAACTGTGTGTATGGGAAAATAAAACTGCTTTTAAATAATTGATGGATTCGACCGTTACTTGATGGAAATTCATTTTATGTAACAATAAAACACTGAAAACTTTGTTTTCAAACTTCCACAAAATTTATTTTAACTATTATCACTACAGCTGTTTCGGCTGATAGCCTTTCTCAAGTGATCTATTTTTGGCATGCGTTTACAATTTATAGTCTCTAATGAAATAGGTTGAGGAGGGGAGAACTGTTTGTCTCAAGTTGGTCATTCAGAATTATATCTGTGTTTTTTAATTTATTGATTTCCATAGATTCTAACAAAGATAGCTTAAGGCCTTTATTTTGAACGTGAAGAATTTTAAATTTGTCATTGAAAGAATGATTATGATCTAGAAGGTGAAGTGCGTATGTCG